CACACAGAAGGGGAAGCCGTTTGGGGGAGCTCCATAATGAGTGGTCTTGGCCACGGGAAGCAGAGCTGTCTAGGGACTGTCAGGGAGGCGGGTCTGAGCTGGAGACAGGGCGGAAGGCCTCCCAACATGGGTGATACTGGAAGTCCTGGAGAGTGCACGGGCCCCTCGGTGCAGAGACCAGAACCCTGGAGGGGACCAGGCTCTAAGGGAAGGCAGAGAAAGACTGGCAGGAAGCTGAGCAGCGAGGGAGATTTCAGGACCAGCACTGTCAACCGCTGCGCAGATGTGTCAAGATGCGAAAGGAAAAGTATCCAGCGGGTTTGTCGGTGTGAGGCCACCAGTGACCTTGCGATACTTCCACTGGAGAGCCGGGGCCAAAGACGACAGTGGGCTGAGAAGTGAGCAGGAAGTGAGTACACGGGAGTCAGAGAGGTGGGGAGAGCCGTGCAGACTGTCTGCCGGAGGGGGGGCTCCGGGCTGCGGGGAAGGAAGGAGGGAGGCATGGAAGGGATGGGGGGAAGGTTCCTGCCACTCAGGGCTTGGGGGCATAGTGGAGGTTTGAGGCCTTGGTCAAGGAGCCAGAGGAAGGAAGGGGGTTGTGTGCAGCTGCGTTTCTAAGCATCGTGGGGGGAAAAAAAAATGCGGGAGAGCTGAGGTCACAGTGCCTGGAGTGTGGGAGCGCTAAATGGCACAGGAGGAATGAGGGACCCCAGCTTTGGAGGGGTCACAGGCTGAGTGGGCAGACTAGCGGGTCAGGTCAGGGCTGAACAGGACCGAAAGGGCCCAGACTTAGGACTAGCAAATAAACCTACAGAACGCCCAGATACGTTTGAATTCCCCATAAACAACAAGTAACTTTTTAGGGTAAGTATATCTCATGCGGTATTTGGGATATACTTAAACCAAAAGCTGTAATGACTCTTGCTTACCTGCAATTCAAACGTTAACTGGGCGGGAGTCCTCCAACTTACTTGGGCATCCTACCCGAGGGGTGGGGAGGAGGGGATGGAGGGGAAGGGTTGGTCCCGGCCCCGCCTCGGGACCAAGTTTGGAAAACGGGTAGCAGTCTGAAGGGTGCGGTGCCGGTGAGGAGAAGGCTGCGGCCAGGCATCACGGAGGCCTCTACTGGCCCCTCCCGCCCCAGAACGTTGGTCTCGCCCCAACACCCCCGCGTAAGTCCCGTGGTGTCACCTTAAGGGCCCATCGATAACTCTACGCTCGGCCGCGGCCTCTATCGATTCGCTCTCGCTCCGCTCGCCGTCCTGAGGCGCGGCGGAGCGCAGAGCCGCATGTAAGGTACGGGGGGCCGCGGGACTCGGGCCAGAAAGCCGCCGCTGGGTGGCCGGGAGAGCGTGCCTGGGGAAGCTGGCCCAGCGGGACGAAGCCAGGGCTGTCGGCGGAGCACGGGGGAAGCCCGAGGGTCTGGCCAGAGAGCACCCCCTCCCATCAGGCTCAGCCGCCGGCCTGCTACGCATGCGTGACCGCTGCCTTCGGCTCTCCTCTCCGGCCCGTCCGCCGCCCCTGCGCATGCGCGGTCCGCCCCTGCGGCAGAGCGGCGCCCCGGGCGCGACTGCCCCCTGTCGGCGGCGGGTGGGGTTGGCGTCCCGGCCGGGTCCGTGGGGCGGGGAACGAAGCGCGCGCTTCCGCAGGTTGTCATGCGTTCCCTGAGCCTCTGAGCCTCAGTTTCCACCTCTCTAAAATGGGAGCGCTAATGCCTATCTCTCAGCAGCGAGTGGACTTAGAGAGTATTCCGTAAATTCTGCACACCCCTCTCTTCTGCAGATGCTCTGAGCTTTGACCCCTGCCTTTCAGAAGTGCGTCTCGTGCTGGCGATTCTTCTTCCACACCATGAACACGTCCCCCGGCACAGTGGGCAGTGACCCGGTGATCTTGGCCACTGCGGGCTATGACCACACGGTGCGGTTCTGGCAGGCCCACAGTGGGATCTGCACGCGCACGGTTCAGCATCAGGACTCTGTATCCTTCACTGCGGAGGTGGGGAGGGCGGTACTGGGAAGGATGCCTGGTGGGGGCAGCAGCCTGGGAAAAGGAAGGGGTGCCTGGGGTGGAAAGGCTGCAGCAGCCAAGCCAGATGGGGGCGGGGGCTCCAGGGCTCTGTTTGTCCTCCTCCTTAACAGACCTAGCAGGTGAACGCCCTGGAGATCACACCAGACCGCAGCATGATCGCCGCTGCAGGTAGCTGTACCCTCGGCCCCACCCCGATCCCTGCTGGGCTGGCCTGGGCACAGCCACCCTGCAACTCAGCCTGTGTCCCCAGGCTACCAGCACATCCGCATGTATGATCTCAGCTCCAACAACCCCAACCCCATCATCAGCTACGATGGGGTCAACAAGAACATTGCATCTGTGGGCTTCCATGAGGACGGCCGCTGGATGTACACGGGTGGGGAGGACTGCACAGCGCGGATCTGGGACCTCAGGTGTGGGGCAGCAGGCAGGAGGGGCCTGTTGCTGGGTGTGCGGGGGTGGGGGGCCAGGCCGGGGCTGTCTCAGGCCAGGGCCCTCCAAGCAGAGGCCCAGATGGGGTTTTCTTTGCGGGTCATTTGCTTAGGGTGGTGACGAAACCAGGGTAGGGCAGGGGGTGAAGCCACACAAAGATGAGCCCAGTCTCAGCCTGATCCTCCAAGGATCTCTAGAGAGTGAGTCCCCCAAGCCTGGGCTGAGGGGCTGCCCCCGGGGCGGGTGGGGGAAGTCTAGCTGGTGTGTGGTGTGACGCCGCTGCTATCAGCAGAGGAACGAGCATAAATGGCAGGAAAAGAGCGTCTGGGGGCGCCGGCAGCACCCAGTAGAGCGCATGTGCCCCCAAAGGTCCCGGAACCTGCAGTGCCAGCGGATCTTCCAGGTGAACGCACCCATTAATTGCGTGTGCCTGCACCCCAACCAGGTGAGGGGCACTCCCAGGGCCGGGCACCGTGGGGCTCTGGAGGGCAGGGGACCGGCCCTCCCTCACCTCCCCTGCACCCCAGGCGGAGCTCATTGTGGGGGACCAGAGCGGTGCCATCCACATCTGGGACTTGAAAACTGACCACAACGAGCAGCTGATACCCGAGCCTGAGGTCTCCATCACGTCTGCCCACATTGACCCCGACGCCAGCTACATGGCGGCCGTCAACAGCACCGTGAGTCTCGGGTGTGCCTGTGCCGGGGGAGGCTGGCTCAGCGCCCAGTCCCTGGTCTTCCCGATTCCCTGCACATGGCTCAGTCCCCAGATGCTCCTCAGACCCCCCCCCACACCCCCCGGGCCTGCTTCCTCATCCTGGGCTCCAGATCCAAGCCAGCCAGCCAAGCCAGAAAGCGGGGTGTCGCTGCTGACGCCCCCTCTCACTACTGCACAGCTCAGCCAGCGGGCGTGACTTCCACCTCCACAACTTCTCAAGTCTGTCTACTTCTCTCTCCTCCCTGGCTCCTCCTGGCCCACGTTTGCCTCCGCTCCCCGTGCAGCGGCCGCCCTCCCTCCTCCCTGAGGCTCTGCCCCCACACAGCGCTCCTTCAGCGCCCGCCGATGCCAGCGTTCCCTGCGTGGACCCCCTGGCGCCCTGGGTCCTCGCCATGGCTGTGGGACACTGCGGTGTGGCCCCGCTCTCCCATCCGGCCTCGTCTTCTCCCATTCAAAGTCCTTTACCTCTCGACGACTCACTGGTCCCGTAGTGTCCCCACGTCACCCTCCGGCTGTTCCATCTGACGTGTCTCGCTCCCATCTCATCCTTCACCCTCCCGCGAGCCAGCAGCTTTCTGCTCGAAGGCCAGGCATGGCCTCCGGCTCTCAGACTGCCTGGGGCTCCCTGCAGCCCGGCCCAGCTGCGCTTGCCATGTGTCCCCAGCCCCCAGATCCCGGTGTGCAGCCCCCAGTGGGACGGCAGCCCCTGCATCCGGGTCTGGCCATGAGGGCCTCCTTCCCAGGTGTCAGACCTAAGGCTCCAGGTGTCCCATGGTCCCCCTCCAATCGCAGGGGAATTGCTACGTCTGGAACCTGACTGGGGGCATCGGTGACGAGGTGACACAGCTCATCCCGAAGACCAAGATCCCAGCGCACGCCCGCTATGCCCTGCAGTGCCGCTTCAGCCCTGACTCCACGTGCGTGCGGTCTGCGGGGGGTGGGGCCCTTGCGCCGTTCTGGGGCGAAGGTGGGAGTGGCTGCTGATGACCCCCCGCTGCACGTCCGTCTGCCCCTAGGCTCCTGGCCACGTGCTCGGCCGACCAGACGTGCAAGATCTGGAGGACGTCCAACTTCTCGCTGATGACGGAACTCAGCATCAAGAGCGGCAACCCGGGGGAGTCCTCGCGCGGCTGGATGTGGGGCTGTGCCTTCTCGGGGGACTCGCAGTACATCGTCACCGGTGAGCCCCTGCCCGCCCAGCCACCACCGCCTGGCGCCGGCCAGCTCCTGCCGCGATGGGCCCCGGCCTGGGGCTTCCCCTGAGCTCCTGCCCCCATCCCTCCCTACAGCTTCGTCGGACAACCTGGCCCGGCTCTGGTGTGTGGAGACAGGAGAGATTAAGAGAGAGTATGGCGGCCACCAGAAAGCTGTCGTCTGCTTGGCCTTCAACGACAGCGTGCTGGGCTAGCCCGTGGCCCCCCGGATTGCAGGCGGCTGTCCAAGGAGCACCTGCGGACTAGGTGTGCTCAGCTGCCCAGGCCAGTGTGAAACTCCATGGGCCAGCCCCTCACCCTCGAGCCTGCTGGATCCCGCGGCCGGCTGCGACTGGCCAGGCCAGCATGCCCTGGGGTTCTCTCAGCTTCCATTGCTTCTGTGGGTGTGACGAGGCCCAGAAGCCTGCCCGAGCCAGCCTTCACTTGCTTCCGAAATTCCAGATCCACAGGGCCCACGAGGTCCCAGGCTGGGGCCCAACCCCAAGCCCGTGCTCTCCCCCACCCTGCCCGTTTTGTGTCCTGAGGCCCGAGAGAACAGTGTCACGGCCAGGTGGAGCGTTTATTAACTCCCGCCCGCAGCCACCCTCCATGACCTGCGATGAGGCCGGCCTGGGGGGCTGGCCGGGTGCAGCACTTAGTCTGGGAGGTAATAAAAGCAGACGGACACGCAGATGTTGCTGGGGAAGCAGATGTCGATGCACAGGTAGATGAGCCGCTGCCTCTGGGGCCCTGGGGGAAAGGGCCCGCATGAGCCCCTGCAGCTCCAACCCCTTCCGCCCGGGCCCCACAACGGGCCCCACAACAGCGCCTGACTTACCCTCCGCTCGGCGGGCCCAGTAAATGGGCGTCTTGCCACAAAGATGCCGCACAGAGTCACCCACCTGGGCAGGGTCCACCTCGCGGCTCCCCAGCACTGCCAGCAGCTCCTGGGTGTAGTGGGTGTCCTGGCTGGGGCCGGGGAGCCTGTGGTCCTGCAGACGAAGCTCTTGTGGGCCAGGGTGTGGGAGTACTGGCGCTCCCCTGGGCTGGGGCCATGCCTGTGTGTCCCTGGACACTTGGCCTGGGGCCAGCACCATCCATAGCTCTTGTCAGTAGCGTCGGCCAAGAGAAGACAGGCCTTCTGTTCCCTGAAACCAGAGCTCCAGCCTGCCTCAGGCCTGGGCTATACACAGGACCCTTTGTCTGCCCCCTGGCCCGGGGAGCCTGGCCGCATGGGGCTGCTTACCCTGGACGTGTTCACCAGCAGCTGTAGGGTCTCGCGGTCTCGGGGCTCCATCGGGCAGAGGAAGCAGGCTGGGTGTTCCGAGGGGCGGTAACAGACGCAGCCCTAGGGAGGCAGGCGGGTGAGGCAGGGCCACCCAAGCCTCTGTGGGTGCTGACCACTCCCCCAACCCACTCACGCTCTGCCCGTCGAACAGCACTGCCCAGCTGCGGTTGCTCTGAGCCGAGGTCACCCGGATGGTTGCCACATTCTGGGCCGCGTCCACCTGGGCAGTTTGGTTGGACCCCCGGGGTGTCCCAGGGCTTGGGGGGGTCAGACGGAGCATCTGCAGCAGAGGCTGAGATCGGGGAGCCAGAGCTCACTGGGCAGGCTGGCGCAGCCCCCGACACCACCTCCCTCCCCGCCACGGCTGGTGTTCCAGTCACTGCTCTGAGCCCTGGCTCCACTGGAGGGCTGGGAGGTCCTGGCCTTTCCTTCCCCTTCCCACTGTCTGTGCCCCAGGCCAGGTCCCCAGGAGGAGCTCACCTTGGGGGGACTGTGAGCAAAGCCAAGAAGTCCTCCAGCCACAGCCCCAGCAGCGGCCAGTGCCAGCAGCAGCAGCAACAGGCTGGGGCCCCTCCAGCCCCCAGGGCAGACCTTGGCCTTCACCTGGAGGCACACTGCAGTCTGTGGGGCCTGGAACAGAGACTGGGGAGCAGGCTGGCTCAGGAAGGCAGGGGCTGAGGTGCGCGAGGTGGGTCCTGCACTCCTGTCCCCTGCCCAGGGCGTGCCCAGGGTCTCCCGTCCTAGAGGAGGGCGCTGGGTGGTTGTAGGCACTCACCTGGACAAGCCCAGGCCGGGGGCTCTCCTCACCGCAGCGCCTCTGCTCCATGGTGCAGCCCTGGTGACAATGCGGGGATTGTCTGCCGCCCCTTGGAGTCAGCTAGGGAAACCTTAGTACAGCCGTGATGAGCCAAGCCACAGTCCCAGCCCCCTCCTCTCCTGGAGCCAGGACAGCTCCCCCTGCTTGGGGTGCAGGGTGTTTGTCACGGTGCCTGGCTCTCCCGACACCCGGCCTGTGCAGAGTGCGGGGCCCCGAGAGGGTGAAGAGCGCCGCCAGCGGTCAAGGAAATCAAGTCCCATGGATTGGCATGAAGGCAGCCCAGGCCCAGGCAGGACGACTTTAGAGTCTGGCTGGGGACAGACTTCATTTTCCTGAAGAGGCTGTTCCAGTGTCTCGGGTTATCCCTGGATTCCCAGGGCTCAGGCCATCAATAAATGTGTTCCACGAACACTGGTATGGGAGTTTGCGCTGCCTCTGTCCTAACATCCCCCGTCCCCCGGCCACTTCCCGGCCCTTCCGATGGGCCGGGCCAAGGGGCAGTCCGCAGCACGTGGGACTGGGAGCAGGATGGTTTCTTCGCAGCCGACAGGCCCATCCAACGCCCCGGGATGGTCGGTCAGCCCCTGCCCTGGCCTGCCCGAGCCGGCTTCTTCTGCTCCCAGCTCACATCTCCGACTTCTCGGTGCTGTAGATTTTGAGTCAGGGCTCCCTCTGGCACTGGCAGGACATGAGGGCTCCGCGCCCCTTCACCCTGTTGCCCTTTTCTGTTCTTGGCTTTCCTTTGTGCCTGTCTTGCTGATTCTTCTGAAGCCAGCCCTCCGTGTCACGGGCCTGGGATGCGATGGCATCCTGGCGGTCAGCATCCCAGCTCTGGAACGAATCCCAGAACGCCTCCTTCTTAGACATCAGCACCGCCCCCCTCCCCGGGCTGCGCAGCTGTAGCCTCTGCGCAAAGGCTGCTATCAAAACAAGGGCAAAGAACGCCACAGTTAGCGCGGTTTGAGACTTTAATATGCATTTGGGTTCACACAGTGCAACGAGGGGCAGAGGTGGGGTGCACGTGGGCTCCGGGGGCACTGCCCGGCAGGACAGGTGGTGCTGCTTGCTGCACCTGCTGCGTGCTCCTGGTGTGGGTGACAACGCCCTGACAGGCCTGCTCAATATCCAGACCCACCTTGAGCCGACCTCGCAGAGCCAACGTCAGCACCACCAACCTCACAGGCGCTGGCTGCCCTCATGATGCCCCACAGCAGAGTCCAAACCCCAGACAGCCTGGGCCTGGGAAGAGCTGCGGGTTCGGGACACCCTTTATTGCTATGAGAACTTTGAGCATGAGGGAAGGAGTCCCCCTCGGGCTAGGAGAGAAGCTCGTGGGCAAATGCCACTGGGGACAGAGTGAGGCGCTGGGAAGGAGTCTGCCAAAAGGAACAGCTTCCCAGGCCCTACCCTCCAAGTGCAGCTGGACAGTCTGCTCATCAGGTCAGCAACTTTAGGGAACAGGCAGAAAAGGCCAGAGCCCTCTGCCAAGAACTCTTGGCTAGCAGACAGACCCTGCCAGTTTTCCCACTGGCATCTGACAAGGAACTCCAGAGCCAAAAGAAGTGGCCTCAAGGACCACTGGCATGTAACCCCCACCCCAACTGAGGGTTCAGGAGCAGAACAGGAAGAGACTGGATGTTTTGTGAAAGGATTTCCTGTTCCTGGGGACACCTCTTTCCTGCCCCACCCAGAGGGCGCCCAGGGTGACAGGCATTTCTTGGCCAGCACGTGCCTTTAGCCGTGCTGCTGGGTGCAGGGCACGCAGACTTCTTCGGAGGGATTTTCCCTACGAGACAGAGCACAGCTATTAATTAACACACTTAAGATTCAATTCCACCGTTTCACAAAAGTTGTTCAAAAGTTTAAAAAAATAATTTTTGGTACCAACGCTACTCTGAGCTCTCTGCACAGCAGCCCAGAGTTCAGCAAAGGCATCCATACTCTTGGTCACTCAGCTAACAATGTGCTCAGTCCAGATCAGCTGGATTTAAATGCACATTTGAGAAAGCTGAGGCTTAGCTGGACTGAGTTTACAGAACTCCGTGATCACGTATGAGGTGTGGCAGCCCTGGGTATCTGAAACGGAACAGACACTTGATTGTGACATCAGAGTGGTTTTTAAGGAAGTGTGGGGCGGTGGCGAGGTCAGCACCCTGCACCCCAAGGACAGGGAGACAGCATTGGGAGCAGCGCTGTCCTCCACTCCCACCCTGCAGGTGAGGGGCTGGGACGCCACAGCAGGCTCACAGGCAGATGACCACAGCAACAGGCGGTGCATCTGTTTGTACAAGTTTCTCACAACAGTCAAAATCATCAGACCGCTCTCCCTTTGGCCTGGAAGGGGGGGCCTGATCCCTGAATGAAATCTTCAATGAAACATCGAACATCCCTAGACCTGCCCGGGGCCCATCAGCAGGCTGGGTAACCACCCTGAGGTCACCTGAATCCTGGACAGATGCTAAGCCTGTCCTTGTCAATGGCACCCGAAGCCCAGGACCCCCCTCAATGCCCTCCAGGTTTAAAAGTGCATCTTCCAATAGAAGCGTTTGTAAACAATATTGCCCCCCAAGCGTTTACTTCAAAGGTTAACAACTAGTGCCTTTACTTAACTCCAAGTATACTCTTTGAAGCCACCTAGCTGAGCGGATGCTTAAGCCCCACCTATTAATTTGGGTAAGTGGTTTTCAATTCGTTTTATTCTGGAGATTAAAGACACTAAATCTTTAACCTTGAAGGGCAGGCAAAAGGTCAGCTATGCTGTCAACATAGAAGTCAGGGACCATTTTCTTCTTAGACATACAGTCACTTTCCTGATTACTCTTCACATCCCCTAGTGTGGAAACGCCGGTGAGGGTCAGGATGGTCTTCAGGCCACAGGTGACGCCCAGGAGGATGTCCGTGTCCAGGCGGTCTCCCACCATGACGGTGCGCTCCGGGTTGATGCCGTACTCCTGGGACACGCAGTCGAAGATGAAGCGGCTGGGCTTCCCGATGATGTCGGCCTGGCGCTGGGCGGCCATCTCCACGGCTCGGACCAGGCAGCCGGTACCTGCGGGGCGGAGACGTAGGGGAGGGAGGAGAGGGGAGCACCCGGGGTCAGAGGGGAGGAGGTGCCCGCGGCCCGCCCCCACCCCCGCGCCCCCGGGCCGCACGGACCCGCGATGAAGCGGCCGTTCTCCAGCGGGAGCCGGTTGTCCATGTTGGTGCCCACGAGCAGGCAGCCGGGCTGCTGCAGGTAGCGCACCGCCTTGGTGAGCTTCATGTAGCTGAAGTGCGGGTCGAAGCCCACCACGACGGCGCGCACGTCGGGATCGAGCGGCGCGTCCAGCCAGGCGCCGGGGCTGTCGCCCTGCAGCGGCTCGGGCCCCACGCCCACGCAGGCGACGCCCACGGCCCCCAGCTCGGCGGCCAGTGCTTCGCTGCCGAGCACGTAGGCCTTGGGGGCCGGCGCGCCCGCCAGGCGCTGGCGCAGGTAGAGCGCGGTGCAGTAGGCCGTGCCGAAGACCTCGAGGCGGGCGCCGGGCCCCGCCGGGCCGCCGAAGCCCAGGCGCCGCAGCTTGTCGGCGTAGGCCTCGCGGGTCTTGCTGCTGTTGTTGGTGATGAAGCCCAGGCGCTTGCCGCGGGCCCGCAGCGCCGACAGGGCCTCCGGCGCGCCGGGCACGGCCGTCTCGCCGCGCCACAGCACGCCGTCGCAGTCGAACAGCAGCGTGTCCACGTCGGCCAGCAGCGCCCGGGCCCGCTCGGCGCTCAGCCGCACGCAGCGGGCGTCGTCACCGCCGGCCTCCGCCGCCGCCATGGCCGCCGCCGCCACCGGCCGCCGCCGCCGCCGCCGCCACCGGCCGCTCCTTGCAGCCGCCCGCCGCCGCGCCCGCACCGCCCCCGGCGCGCTCATTGGCTCCGCTGCTCGCGCGCGCCGCCCATTGGACGCCGCCTGCGCCAATCCGCCCCCGCCTCCCGCGGGCTGCGGGAGCTCAGCGCCAACCGTCGCGGCCCGGCGCGGGGAGGAGGGCGGCCATTGGCTGACGGGCCCGGGGCGCCCCGCTGATTGGCTGGCAGGGAGCCAACCGGCATTCGGAGTGGAGCGTTCACTGCGGAAACGCTGCGGAGCAGCCCAGGGCCGGCGCTGGCCGTAAGGCTGCTGCTCATTGGCGGCCTCGGGGCGGCTCGCCCATTGGTGGCGCGCGGTCAGCTTAGGTGACGGAGGCCTTTAATGGAGTGACCCCGGGCCGGGCCGGCTGCGGATTGGCTGGCTTCTCCGTGGCCTGGAGCCGGCAGGACGTGGAGGGGGGCGGGGAGCCGCTGTACCCCTCGGGCCCGAGTCTCGTCCGCACCTTCGCGTGGGCGGTGCCGGGCCGTGCCCTCCGCCCGGGACACGCCGCTGGCGCGTGGCGGAGTAAGGCCGCTGCTGAGGGCCAGCCCGGGGCTCCGTCCCGGCGGGCCCGGCGTTCCCGCTTCCAGCCGGGCGCGGAGCTCCCTCCCGGGGCTTTAGCAGGGCCGGGCGCTGGGGCTGCCTCAGGGGTCACGTGAGCCGGTAACTGCCGGCGCCGGGCTCGGGGCCGCGCGACCCCGCTCGGCGGCCGCGTTGCTGCGGGGGCCCCGGCCGACTCTGGTGAGGCACACCGTCCGTGAAGTGCGCGCGTCCGGTGTGCCGCGCGGCGGCGTTTTCACGCAGACGCCCGTGCAAACGCGGCCCGGATCGCGCCGGGGCCTCTCCGTCGCGGCAGAAAGCTGCCTGGCGGCCCCTCTCCAGGCACGAGCGATCCCCTCCCCCGGCCACTTTCCCGAGCCTGTCGCCGCGGGGTGAGTCACAGCCTCCCCTGCCTTCCCAGGTGGTCTCAGCGCCGGGACGTAAGCACCGGCTGCTCCTGCGGCTCCGCAGCGGGTGGGTGGGGCCATCCCGCCGCGCGCGCTCCTGGTCAGTGCGCTGTCCTAAGAGCACACCCCTGTGTGTCTGTTTCGCAGTTGAGCGACACTGTGCGGTCTCCGGGTTGGGAGCGTTGTAAATAATACCTGCATGGACGTTCTGGTTCCCACGCAGCCAATCGGGGACCCAGGCACTCATTGCTCTTGGGTGAAGTCTACTTGGGAGGGGGGTCGCAAGTTCACACCGGTAGGCGCTTGTTACTACGCTCCATCGGACCAGGTAGCAGAGCTCTGAAGGGCCCCGGTTTCCTGAAAGTCTACCCTGTGCCAGGCCATCCAGCCTCTCAGCTCCCAGGGTGTCAACCCCTGCTGTTCTGTTGGGCCCCAGATCTCCATAAAGTCAGCTCGGACCCACCACCCCCACCCCAAAACCCATGAGGTAAACCAGTGACCTTAGTTCCCTTAGGGCCCTGCTTATTTACAGCCGGCTTGTTTCTGTTGGTCCCTGCCGGCCCCGGGAACTCCTGGAGGACCTTTGAAGGGCCATGGTCCACAAGGGCAGGGCGGGGGGCGGGGGTATAGCTCAGTGCTAGAGCATTTGACTGCACAAGGGCAGGGCGTGCAGAATATTCCTGCCTGGTGTACCTACTACCCACAAGGGGAGCCTTCCTCCCTGCCTCTTCCCACTTAGTTTTGGTGTGCCGCTGACTCTGGGAAGAACTCTGGAAGTTCACCACCCAGAAGCATCCAGTGTACACACTGACCAGAATGGGAAGTCTTACTGCTGCCCAGCCACCGGCCAGCTTGGACAATACTGCCCAGTTGTATTGGTTTCCTGGGCACCCAGTAAACATCTAGGCGCTGAGCACTGCTCCTTACCTGCATTTTGTTGTCGGACCGAGACGGTCCTAGGAGGCGGGGACTGTTAGCGTCCCCATTCATGGATGAGGAGACTGAGTCACACAGAGTCACTAGCTGGACACTGCAGAGCTGGGATTAAACCCAGGTGACTCCAGAGTGGAGCCGTGTCACACCTGTTTGCCTTAACATTCCCTGTGAGTGGTAGGGCCTGAGCCAGCGTAGTGGGAAGGACGGAATGGTCTGGAACAGGAGAGGACATTGCTACGGATGAGGTCCTGCCAGAGGCTGGAAGGGATGGTACACTTGGTACACTTCATGGAGGCGGGCGGCGGGGAGAATTGAGGTGTGAGATGCCCTGTGTCTGGATGGGAGAGGAGTACCCCACGATCATGGGGTGTCCCCGACACATAGTAGATGCTCACTGTATACCTGTGAATGGTTGGCGCCAGGGTTCCCGCACGTGAGGAAGCCCTGCCTGCAAGCTGAATGGGGCATAGATGGAGATGGCCCAAGAACACATTCTATTTAATTTTAATAGCCTTGCAAGGACTTAAATTGTATTAGAAAACGCAAGCAGCAATTGAATCTGTGTTTTCCCAGATGGTTTTGCTTCTAATGAGCCAAGTAAAAATGGGAGTCATTGAAAAAGGATTCAAGTGGCAAAAAAAAAAAAAAATGGTAACAATCTAAAAATTCTTCAACATGGGATTGGTTAAATAAATTAAAGTACATCCAAAGAATAGAGATTGAGCAGTCCTCCTAAAGGGGGCTGGTGTTGCTGTGACCAGAGCATTGAATATCAAACAGTGTGCAGCTAGAGCCTATGTTGAGGGCTGGGTGGGACCGGAGGAGGCCATCTGGGGGGAAGGGGGACTCTGGTTTTCCTGTCTTCCGCTGGCCACTCTGCCTTTCAGAGACCTCAGGCCTGTCCACTGGCCTGCCTGGGCTCTGGCTGAGGCAGGATGTGGGAGTCACTGGATCAAGAGGCCCTTTTCTGACTCCTGGGGAGCCTGACGTGGCTCTGGAGCACACAGCAGGGCAGGCTCTCTGTCTCCCCTGGGTCAGCTCCTCCTCCTAGTCACCCACACGCAGATTGTCCTCTCCACCTTTGAGACCCTTCCCCACTCCATTCTCCTGGGTGCTTACTAGGTCTCTCTGACATCGGTTCCCCCTAGTACTCCTCAGCACCACCTGAACTGAGGTGTCGTCCTGGTCCTCCCTCCCCAGCCCCCTGCCACATACCCTCACCTGTTCTTCCTCTTGTTGGTCCTTCTCAGAGACCATCCATCTGGGATCTCCCTGCTTCTGTGGTCCTTTCTCTGCACAGTAGCCAGAGGGATCCTTTTGAAATGCTGTCACTCCATCTGCTTAAACTCCTGCAAAGGTGAGCAAGTCCCCTGCAGAAAGCAGCCTCACCCTTACCCCAGCCCCACCTCCAGTGATCTGACCTGGGCTTCACACATCCCTTGCTCCTGCCAGGCCGAGGGTCCCCCGGGCCCCAGCTGGGCATCCACGGCATGGTGACTGTCTCTGCTTGGTGTCCTTCCCAGGGCAGGGCTGCCCACTCTCTGCCTGGGCCCTTGTGTCTCTGCCTGGTCTTGCCTGGAGACCAGCCTTGCTGAGGAGACCAGCTCTGATTCATCTGAGTCTTTGGCATCCAGCACTGGGCTGGGTCACAGAAAATAACTGAGCTGGGAGAGTACACCCTGTGGGTTTCCAGCCCATGGCTCTGGACAGACTTTGAGTCTCCAGTCTGCCCTCCGGCAAGCATCCTATCAGTTCTGTGCCTCAGTTTCTTCATCTTCAAAATGGGGATGATTGATATCAAGTGAAAAAGTCCTGTACAGCGCTTAGCTTCAAAGAGCGAACTAAAGACTGTCTTAGAAAGAATAAAAGGAGGGGTGCCTGGGTGGCTCAGTCGGTTAAGCGTCTGCCTTCGGCTCCGGTCATGATCCCAGAGTGCTGGGGTCGAGCCCCACATCGGGCTCCCTGCTCAGCAGGAAGCCTGCTTCCCCCTCCCTTTCTCTGCCTCTCTGCTACTTGTGATCTCTGTCTCTCTCTGTCAAATAAGTAAATAAAACGTTTAAAAAAAAAAAGAATAAAATGAGTTTATCTGCACGCGTTCATGGTAGCATTATTCTTAATAAGTACAAAAGGTGGGAACAACCCAAATGCAGTGGATGAATACATTCTGGTCTATGCAGATAATGGAGTATTATTCAGCTATAAAAAATGATGTATGGTCACATGCTTCAACATCGATGAATCTGGCAAACATGCTAAACCAAACAAGTCAGACCAAAGACTACATGTGTAATTCCACTTAATTGGGAATGTCCAGAAAAGCCAAAGCCATACAGGCAGAAACTGGTTGCCAGAGGCCAGGAGTAGGGGAGAACGGGAGTGCTTAGGGGACAGGTTTCCTTTTCTTTCCGGACAAGGTTCCGGAGCTAGATGTTGCTAATGTTCCCACAATACTGTGAATGCGCTAAATGTGACCAGTGGTAAATCTTACGGGTATTTATTACAATTTAAAAGAAATGCATTAGTGTAGAAGGGTTAGTGAAGTTACCCGAGAGCCAACCCCAATTCGGGTTCTTCCTTGGGACCCGACAACTAACAAGGGACCCGAGACGGTAGGGCCACGGCGGTGAGCACCACACTACTTGTCGGAGCGGGGACAGTGTCCCGCGGGCCACCCGCCAGCCTCGGCAATCCCTGCGGGTTCCCCGCCGCACAGCGCTTGGGAACCTAGCCCTCCGAGGCTCCTCCCGCGGGGCTGCGAACCTACCGCACCAAGCCCCGCCCCGAGGGACCGCCTCTGACCCCGCCCCTTCGCCTGTCTGCCCGCTCCACTGTAACCACGCCCCCTAGCAGCCCCGCCCCATGCCTTCTCTCCGGGAGTCTGGCGTAGCCTCTGCGGTTCCAGGCTCCTCCTCCTAGACTCCGCCCCGCCGGCTGTCTGTCAAACCGGTCTGGCCCCGCCCTCCTCTCGTCGTTCTCTCGCTCTCCTCAGCGCGGCCCGTTGTTATGACGACACGGTCGTAAATCCGCCATCTTCCTGCGGCGCGTTGCGACATGGAGGGCGCGATGGCAGTGCGGGTGACGGCCGCGCATACGGCAGAAGCCCGGGCCGAAGCCGGGCGGGAGGCGGGCGAGGGCGGGGTCGCGGCGGCGGCGGCGGCGTCCTTGGCCCCTGGCGGCTTCCTAGGCCTCCCGGCGCCCTTTAGCGAGGAAGGTAACAGGGCCTGACGGGGCCTGACGGGGTCGGGCGCGGCCGGGATGTGGACGACTCAGTCCTGGCTGGAGGAGGCCCGGATGGCCTGAGCTGCGGACGCGACAGGCGGTCCCAGACCCCGGTTCCTTGCGGACCTCCCGGGTCCCCAAGGGAGTCCTGCGTAGCCCTCCACGAGCCCCCCAGGCTTCCTCAGACCCTCAGGCCTCTCCTGCGGGCGCCTCTCACCCCGCGGGCCTCGGTGCCCACTCACGGATATTCACAGGTGGCCAGGCCTCTGGGGCTGCCCGTGGAGGCCTCTGCCATTGCCTCCGCGGCCAGCCTTGCCCCTCAGGCTCGCGGTCCGGCCCTGCTCTCCTCTGGGCCCTCTTCCATGGCACCTGACGGGCCTCTAGAGCCCTGGCTGGGGTGGGGCTGGAGGCTGCCGGGGGCGGGGCTCCGGGGGTCCCGGCTCCGAGCTCGCCCCTGGGCGGCAGCAGGGCCCAGTGGCGCGGAGCCGGTGCTCTGCAACCAGCCTGCGAGCTCCGGCCCGGATCTGCTGCTCTCTGGCTGGTTGACCCTGGGCGGGTGAGCTTCCCTTTCCCTACAGAATGGGGAGGGGGCTGCTGCTGCTAATAACGTGTTAAGCACTTACCCTGCATTGGGCGCTTTCATCTTAAAACCAACTCTGGAGGCTCCTACTGTTGTTGTTGAGGTCCAAAGATGTCAAAGCGGACGGGTCACCCAGGGAGTAAGTAGCAAGACTGTGTGACTCCTCTGCCAGGTCCCCTAACTTGGGCTGTGCTGCCTCCCAGGGCTGTGGTGACAAGGAAGATAGAGCAACGTGGGGACCCGCTGAGCCAGCACACCCAGGGTTGGCCCACAGGTGCCCTGATAGCTTTTCAGACAGGAGTGTCTCTGTTCTCAGCTCTCCAGCTTGGCCCGAGAGGAGGGGGCTGGCTGGTGATATTGGGGTGGTGGTCTCTCTCCCCACAGAACTCCTATTCTCAGTACATTGTTTTCTTCACTCCTTCTAATTCCAGCTGGGGGAGGGGGGACTATTAGGGGCAGTGCTGACCCGGAGGGGGATCTCTTTTTCGATTGCTGTGACCCGCTGGGCTTGCCCCCAGCCCTGTCCGTGTTGTGTGGCACGGCCGGTCCCCTTCTGCGTTGGGTGATGCTGAGTCAGACCTGGCCTGCCAGGTGGGACGGTTAAGAGGGTGGTGGGCATCTCAGTGCTTGGCTCATAACTGTGAGCCATCTGGAGGGGACTGTGGTCTTCTGTGGGCCACTCATGGCTGTGGTTTAGGCTTTCCTTTGCTCATTAGTTCAGAAGACATTGACTGGGCTCCTTCTCTGTGCCAGCCCTGCGTTTGATTTTGATGTGGGACCGCATGTGAGGTGGTGGGAACTGGTGAACTTTTATGGATACACAAGGGACATCCCCCCCCCATCCCATTGTGCAAATGGCAGGCCATCCAGAGTAGACCCTCAGGTTCAGCCCCTGGTCCTAACACTCACCAGCGGGGTGGCCTTGAATCTCAAGTCATTTTTCTGGAATGAGAATAGTCATCTTTATTTCCCCAGGGTGCTGGCTGGACTCAGTGACATCCCCAGTGAGGTGTCTGGCACCCAGTAGGGACTCAGTGAGTGGGAAGTCTCTTCCATAGGACCTGGGGCAGCCACTGGCTGGTCAGCCTACATGGTGAGGGGCTCAGGTGTGATGTTCCTGGGGGTTGGAGCCCCTCTGGGAAGTTTCCCCCCGAGTGTCTTCAGGAGAACAAGGACCTATTCAGAAACAATGAAGCAGCAAGTCAGTGGGGAAAGAGGGTTATGGGTCAGGGTGTGCTGCCTCTTTTGCATTTGCCGAGGGCCGGCCTCTCAGCCAGAGCCCTGTGGGCATCAGTGCACTGATGCCCGCTGCACTGTACACCGTAAAATGCGTTGGCCCATGTTACAGACAAGCAGATGGACCCGGACATGGTGACCGAGGTGCTGGAGGGCATATGGATAGCCCAACAGTCTTAATCCCCCACTCCCCCAGACTGGCATGGGCAGACCCCCCACCTCCTAGCTGCCCCTGAGCCTCTGTTCCCTCATCTCTGAAGTGGGGGCTTGGGATACACAACCTCAGTGGGTCTCTGCAGCCTACCTGTATGGACGGGGCCACTGCCTGCTGGGTGCTGCCCTCCCTGCTGTGGGTGCCTCTCTGCAGACCTCCGGAGGATGGGGGCTGGCACCCCGGGCCTCCATGGGAGGCTGGGGCAGGTGCCTCTGCTGCAGATGACACCAGGGCCTGGAGGCCTCCCAGTGACCACAGGTTCTTTGCAGATGAGGACGACGTGCACAGATGTGGCCGCTGCCAGACGGAGTTCACTGCCTTGGAAGACTTTGTTCAACACAAGCTCCAGAAGGTGTGCCAGCGGGCCACCCAGGAGGCCTCGCCCGCAGCCCCTGCTGCTGGTGCGCTGCTGGGCCAGGAGGTGAGCCCCCACTCCCGCCCTGCACATACCCGTGCATGTGTGTGCTGCCCCCCGGGGCTCCCCTGACAGCCGGTGGGGCGGTGAGTGCAGCTGGGTTGGGGGGGGCTGCCATCTGGTGGTGGATGAGGGAGGGTTTGGGCCCGGCCCCCAAGAGCTGGGCAGTGCTCCTGGGTGACCCAGCCTTCTCCCTGGCCTCGGGCTGGAGCCTGCGCAGTTGAGGTCCCTCCTTTCTTGGAACCTCAGGGCCTGTCTTGCCTCAGGGCTTGTCTCCTGCCGTGTACACACAGTTCCTCAGGATCCCACAAACGGTGGCTCTGGGGGGTCCTGCCACCTTGTCATGGAAGTGGCTGACTTTGTGGCATTGTGTGCATGCTTGGGCTATACACGTGGTCTCGTTAAGGGACAGAGCACCCTCACGGGGTGGCACTTTCATCATCCTCATTGTGTAGACTTGGGAAAGGGGCTGCCTCAGGTCATCACAGGGAGTGGTCCAGAAGTCACACGGCTCACACCTGTCTCACTCTGACTCTTTCCTCCAGGAAGACCCCCAGTCACACATACCTGGGACTCTTTCCCTTGCTCCCCTGGCTGGGGATGGTGGGGTCACCTCCCCCTGGAGCCCTTCTCCACAAGGGTGCTCAGTGCTCTGCGTTTGGCTCATGGTGGCCAGAGGCGTTTGAGTGATGGTGCTGACCCCTTAGGCCTGGAGTGGAGGGACCAGGCGGGAGTCAGGCTCAGAGCAGGGACAAGAGAGATGCTGGAGGAGATGAGAGGCCCTGCCACAGCCTTTCTGCAGGGACATAAACCCAAGCCTTCCTCTCCAAGCCAGGGGTGCTCTGGAGCCCCACAGCTGAGTCCTGTGTATCCCCTGTCCCCCCTCAATAGGTGGTGCCAGCGGTGGCAAGCCCGGAGGAGCCCATCACTGTGGCCCACATCGTGGTGGAGGCGGCCGCTTTGACAACAGACATGAGCCACGCACCTGACATCGTCGGTAAGCCAGCAAGGTCCCCCGTGGCTGTCCTCATGTCGCTCTCCACACAGCTGTTGCTGACCTGTCAGCGGTCTGTGATCAGCACTGGAGGCTGGGGACCCTTGCCACCCTGTCTCTCTGCTCGCCTGAGAGCAGGGCCTGGCTGAGGAGGGCCGAGCCCCAGGCAGTGGGCCCTGCCGGGAGAGGGGAGGCGTGCGGCCTACAC